CGCTCTACGGTCCGTCACACCATTAAAATAGCCAAAAGAACAACTAATTGTCGATCGATGATTCTTTTCGAAATCAAGTCTTGATTTCTAAAGGAGAAAGCGTGGCGCCTCGGCTCCAAGACTACCCGTAATGATTGCCACACGAATCTTGACTTGTTCTTTTCTCACTACATCAAGTTCGCCCATATTTAACGTCAATCAATACCTTGCCGATTAGAGCACGTAACGGCTACATGAGTGTTAGTCATCGCTTGAGTATCCCTGAATGTCTCAACATGGGGATCACTTACAAAGCAAGATTCTCGCGGTCTGTCAAATCTAGTTGCCTTGTATCGACAACATCCTCAATTCTTACCCCGTTCTCATCAAGATGTTCCACAATACCAACCTCTCGAATCAGGCCTTGACTTGCCAATTCATCCCTTCTCTTATTCTCTTTGACTAGGTACCATCTCAAATAGAGTACTATGATCGTCGGAAGTACGCATGCCACACCTAGAATTACTGCCCAGGTAACAATATATCGAGGAGCATATTGCGGCTGAAACAGCTGAGGTGATAGAATATTCCCTAGACCGTAACCCACGTGGTATAGCGCGATCACGGCAGTTTTCTTTGTGTGTCCAGCGGAACAGTTGGCAGCCCAGACCATAACGACGCTATAAGGAATGCCGCCAGTTGCACGTATCCAGATCGCAGTAAGGAGCCCCCAACGATTTCCCCATGGCAGGGCCAAAAGCAGAATACATGATACGATAGGAGGTATGTAAGAGACTGCAGAAAGCCATGCGCGACAATTTTTGGTTTTGGCCAGGATAATTGCCGCGGCCCCAAGAGACACTAAAGCAGTTACTCCATTGATACAACCGAGCAACGTTGTCTGTAAGGTTGTAAATCCGAATGATTTGATGATCAAGGAATATTGATTCGTGAGGCCGTTTGCCATCTCCTGTGACCAGGCATGGAGAAAGAACAACCATGTTTTAGGGTCTTTGATAGCCTCAAGGAATTGATATCGTTTGAAACGTTTCTGCTCAATTCCTGAATGGTTTGACTCAATCCGTAAAATGGCTTTAGCGCGTTCCTCAGGGCTGAGGAAGTGAGCGGATATTGGGCTATCGGGAAAGAAGAACCACACGATGATACCGAACAATACGGTAAGAGAGCCAGTAATCACTAGTTCATTCAGCAAATTGTTCTAACAGGTCGAGTGAATTTTCGTCTTAGCATACCCATAAACCATTTCCAAGGGGCAAAACTTCCAGTTTTGATCCACAGGACGCCATATGACAACAGGCCAGACGTAATTGGGCTAGAGTTGCCGATAGCCCACATGCACGGCATCAGCACTGCTTGTTCGTCGTATGTGAAAAACATTGAAAGAATGAGAAGAAATGACGGGACGATGCAAGCTTCCGCCAAACCTAGAAGGATCCGAATAGCAAAGAATGACCCAAAGCTGTTACAGGGGATATGCAATAACAGAATCCCGCCCCTAGACGAGTTAGGGTTTCTCAAAGACCTATACAGACTAAGCGATGGACACTTACCAGGCAATAAGGTTGATAGACAGCCACTTTGCAACGGGGAATCTCTGCAAGGCCAAGTTTTGCGGCCATTCCGCCAGAAGATAGCCAAGGTAAAATATGGATGAGAGCCAATTATACTGATTAGCGCTTAGATGGCCGTCCTCCAGTATACCAAGAATTGCCGAGCTGCCAAGCTAGTAAGGAAAGCTTGTTAGCATAGACAAGAAGAGGCACACAGCAGCGCTCTACATCATCATACAAAGCTTAAATTGAGAGACGCGTACCGTTTGCTTATCGACATACATCAAATGATAGCCGAGACATAAGAATGGTAAAATCCAGCGAATGCATTTGTTGCGGATGCGTGTTGCTTCCTCGGGTGTCGGAGGCTCAACTGTTACCTGAGAAAATAGCTTATAACTTTCATCCGCAAATCTATCCGGCAACTTGGGAGTGGCAAGTTCAACCTCGCTCGAGGCAGCACGTTCAAGTGTTTTCTGAGCCATGGTGGCTCGGTTCCAATGATGTATGTTCTCTTTTTGCTGAAACAACAATCACATAATTCAGGGTTTTATGAAGAATCAAG